ACCTGTGATAGGATTCTGGAGTGGAATAATTTGGCTGGTTGGAATGACTGCTGTCGTAGCCTTGTTGTCAGAATATGTTGTGGGGACAATCGAGGTATTTACTAAACTAATAAGCATCTTGTAAAAGTAAGCTTCTTAGCTACTTTTAATATTACTGTGGCATGAACTGAAAAATATACCTTTTGATTTCACAGGAAGCTTCAGAATCTTGGGGCCTTTCTGTCAGCTTCATTAGCATTATCTTGCTGCCAATTGTTGGAAATGCGGCTGAACATGCTGGAGCAGTCATTTTTGCTTTTAAAAACAAGCTGGATATATCTTTGGGTGTTGCACTAGGTTCTGCTACTCAAATTTCTTTGTTTGTGGTAAGTTTCATAATTAAAACTCAAAGGGTATCGATCTTCCGACCTAACCTTTCTCCTTCTCTGAAAAAATGAAAAGTCTGAATCAAGTCTTAACTTATATTTGCTATTTGACTTTCAGGTTCCACTCTGTGTAGTTGTTGCTTGGATGTTGGGCATTACTATGGATCTTAATTTCAATCTCCTTGAGACTGGTGCTCTTGCTATATCAATAATCACCACAGCCTTCACCTTACAGGTAATTTATACCACTAACCAATTCTTCACCAGTTAATCTAATAACACCAAGATTACTTTTTAGAATACTGATTAATGGAATCTCCCTTTTCTATTTTTAAATCACTGAAACTTGATAGAGCTCATTTTATGCAGGTTAGCCCCTTTGATTTTTAATGAAATTTAATTGCTTTATTTGTTACAGGATGGTACTTCTCATTACCTGAAAGGATTGACTCTATTGCTGTGCTACGTTGTTATTGGAGCATGCTTTTTCGTATCCAAAACACCACTGAGTAAGGCCTTGCAAAATTTGTAGAGGCTTAGTTAAGAATTTTAATTCTATCCCTTCCATCCATTGCAATTCCATTTCATAACCAGATTTTGTATTTTTATTCTTATTCAGACCACGGAAATGTCATCGACTTGGGTGTCACTTCCGAGGTCGGAGTCATCACAGCTTAACAGGTGGGTTCTGTTCGATTCATAATCAGTCAATGCCTTTATTATTTACACACAACATATTATTTCAAGTCAATACTTGATCGTGGGCATACTGCGCAATGTGAAAACAGGGCCTGGCCTTTTTAGGGTTGCTCCCCGAATGAAGATCACAGCATCAAACATCACCAACAGATTGAATGAATTTCTTATTCTTTCATTTTGCTCCACCTGTCCTGGCCTGCATGCCTGCCTGAAAGCAAGCAATATTTTGCATTTTGCTTGTCCATGATGTACTTGTTATCCCTTCAAAGCTTAAATGCCAGGCACCATTGTGGCTTTAAGAATACAGGCCACTGCTTATGTAATGTATAGATTTCTGGGTGTTTTTGCAACCGAGTTTTTGTATCTTATGCCAATATATAAAAGGTGGCATATGGCACAAGGGTTATATATCCAGTACTCTTGTAATAAAATAATTAGTCAATGAGAAGATTTAGTTGTTTGTGTTTGCAACTTGATTAATCTATATTGTTGATCATCATTTTCAAGAACAGATGCTATCAGTGTAAGAAATGCCTGCCTGCCATGCAGAGATCCCAAGAACTTGTAGTACAAAAAAACACAAAATAAAAATAAAGTAAAAGGAGTATATAAACATTTTAAATGATCTGATAAACATATATATTGGGTTCTGCCTAAAATGAACGAATAGTTTAATTTGTTTTATTCTTTCATCCTTTAATTCTGCTCTCTCCTATTAAGAAGTTGAATTTCAGAAACTTGTTGACGGAAAAACACAAAGAATGCTAAATGAGTGGCTCAAGCCGTAAATTAATTAATCCTAATGTTCTTAGAAAAAAAAAAAAAGTTTGGTGTGGTAAAATTCCAAACGATCTCCAGGGTTCAACTTTTGGTGATAGCACGCTTTCAAATTTGGTCCCAAAAATTTGGCTCGGAGGAGTTATTTTGTAGTCTTCTCATTTATGTATCTTGAGAGCATCTCTAATTGCAAAAGGTATTTGCAAGAGCCAAACTATTATTAATATGGTATATATTTTAAATAGTATAAATATGACTCTTTTTTTTTATGTGTACTCCAATATTGACAAATGTTATTTTGACAACTCATTTTGATGTTATACAACTACTTACATGGAACTAATTTAATTAGTTTTTATATAATATAATTATGTTATTAATTATACAATTGATGAATTCGAGTAATTTATCACAATTAAATATAAAATTAATGAGGTGATAAAAAAGTTAAAAGATATAATTTTAAATTCAAGATAAAAGATTAGGGAGTTTGTGGACAAACCATTAAGAATGTTATTTCTTTTATTTTTTTTTTCTAATTTGGTTCTTATTGAACTAAATTATAAGCCAATTTATTGTAGAAGAGGGGGATTGAAATATTAGGGAATAAATTAAAAAAAAACATTGGGAATGGGTGGATTTAAAAAACCTGGGCAAAATATTTATTGGAGTTCCTATACTTTTTAAATTATAGATATCGGATCTTTTTAACTTTCAAAATTAAAAAAAAAATTAATTTTGATCCTAAATTTTATTTTTTGTCTTTGGTGTAAAAGATGTGAGAAAAAGTCATAGAATTCAACATTAGAGAGAGAAAAAAATTTTGTAAACACTAATTTTGTCCATAAAAATAGTTAAAATTGGTGTTAACTTGTTTTTTTTTTTAATGAGAGAAGCTCATATTAGGGAGTGTTTTTACCTTAAAATTACTAAGAAAAACATATATGTTTTTGGTAAATTTTTTTGTTTCAAGTTCATTTAGGATTTTAAAATAGTTTTTTAAGCCATGAATAGATTTATCAAGTTGCTTATGATATTTTATATATATTTTAGGTAAAACATATTTTAAAATTTTAATTTTTAAGTTGAAAAAACCACCGATCTTGTTTTTCTAGCCATTGTAATGGTAAAAAACCAGATAATATAGATGATATATTGTCTAATATTTTTTTGAAAACCGAATTAGGGTGGATGTGAAAACAAAAACAAAGACCTAGTTTTTTATGAGAGGAGCTCATATTAGGGAGTTTTTTTACCTTAAAATTACCAAGAAAAACATATTTGTTTTTGGTAAAAATTTTTTGTTTCAAGTTGATTTTGAATTTTAAAATAGTTTTTTAGACCATGAATAGATTTATCAAGTTGCTTATGACATTTCATATATGTTTTAGATAAAAAATATTTTGAACATTCAATTTTTAAGTAGAAAAAACCACCAATCTTGTTTTTCCGGCCACTATAACTGTCAGAAACTAGATAATATAAATGATACATTATCTAACTTTTTTTTTTAAAACCGAATTATGGTGGATGCGAAAATAAAAACAAAGGCCTATTTTTTTTTTATGAGAGGAGCTCATATCAGAGAGTTTTTTACCTTAAAATTACCAAGAAAAATATATTTGTTCTTGGTAAAAAATTTTGTTTCAAGTTGATTTTGAATTTTAGAACAATTTTTCAGGCTATGAATAGGTTTATCAAGTTGCTTATGATATTTTATATATGTTTTAGGTAAAAAAATATTTTTAAAATTCAATTTTTAAATTGAAAAAATCATCAGTCTTGTTTTTCTAGTCACTGTAATAATTAGAAACTAGACAATATAAATAATGCATTGCCTAACTTTTTTTTTAAACTGAATTAGGGTGGATACGAAAACGAAAACAAAAACAAAAGCCTAGTTGTGCGGCCCTTGATAAAATCGGTCAGGTTAACAACACTTTTTTAAAATTATTTTTTTATTTTTTTAATTAATATTTTTTTGTATGTATTTAAATGAATACTTATTATTATTATTTTGTTTTGTTTGTAAAGCTTCTTGTAAATAAGAGTTATTTTTTAGTATGGAAACAGGAAATGATATGTTAATTGACAAAAAAAAAATATTATGGCTTTTAGGCTGGAGATGCCTTGAGTGACATATTTGGTGGAGTCGTTTTTAATGAATATAAAAAAGAAACATTGTTGGGGGAAAAAACAATATCTTCCAAAGTACAAGGACTATCTCACAACAATATAATAATTTATAAATGAGAGGTGGATCATTTCTTATAATCTTCTAGATGCTTCTTATTTAATTAAAAAAAAAAAGTTCTCCTAACAGTCAAAGTCTATTATTACACTAAACGTTAGGTTTTTTTTTTTTTTTTTTCCCACACAAAGTTCTCCTAACAGTCATAGTCTATTATTACACTAAACGTTAGGCTTTTTTTTTTTTTTTCCCACACATGACAATTTAGTGTCATATTTTTGCTTTCCATTATTCCATCATCAATAAGATTTAACAGCATGGAGCACGTCTCCGCCATCTCGAAATTAAATGAAGAACGAACAATTCGGCCGTGTCCGAATGCTGAACAACCGAGAAGGCCCCAAGGAAGGCGCGCATAGAGCGGGCAAAATATTAATAGCATTTTTACTCCCCATGGTTTCTCAATATCTCATTTTTGCACCCAATACTTGCACATTTCCATTAACAAAAGCTAAGCCAAATGGCAAATACCTATTTCTTTATTTTTATTTTTATTTTTATTTTCACTTTTTTCCTCTTATGAATCGTCCCTAAGGTTTCATATAATAAACATGTTAGTATTCATTACACTTTTATAAAAATAATACAAATAAATTAAAAAAAACCTCTAGTTACTGCAGGATTTTATAAAATTCTGTAGAATATAGAATTGAATATTGAGAATGTTAAGATAATAGGATGAGGGTAATATTAAAAGCTTTTAAGAGGTTAAGGGAGAAAATTGAACAAAAAGGGTTAATATTGAAAATGTTTTTAAGTAATAGGATGAGATGAAGAATATAGAAACTTATAGGGGCTAAATAAAAATTAAAATGTAGTTTGCCTATCTCTATCAATGAAGAAATATTTCTAATCAATCAGGCTGTGTGCTTCATCATCCCTCGATAGACCCGCACACACCAAATCTTTAATAAAACAAAACACTCGCTCTATTCTGCTTAAAAATCCCAAGAGATCCTTCTGTTTAAGTTTGCTGTTCTCCCTCTCTCTGCGTTCTGCTACTATCCTTCTACCTTATCCCTTCTCTGCCCCTAACAAACTCTCAAGTTTGCTAATTCAAACCATGAGAGAAGAAGAGAGAGCCATTTTATCCTTCCAGACGTTACCAAACTTAAAAACCTCACTCTCTTCAATCTCTGAAGCCACGCCCCACCGCGAACCTCTGTGGAGAAACGCGCAATTCAGTTGCAGAATCCGGAATGGCGGAAATAATGGAAGTTTTGGCAATTTTGCTTCAGTTTCAATGGCGGAGACTAAGGAAGATGGAAGAAATGAGTTCGCACCGAGTTCGGCTCAGCTATTGAAGTATCCGTTGGCAATACTGGCTTATGTGCCTAGAGATGCTGCGATTTTTGCCGCTGGAGCTGTCGCTGGTGCCGCAGCGAAGACTGTCACGGCTCCGCTTGACCGTATAAAGTTACTCATGCAGGTGTTGTTTTAAGTTTCTGTGCTTTCAATTTTTATCACGTGTTTTTCGAGGTCCCGAGTCGTTAATGTTGCTACGTGGTTACTGAGAAAATGGAGTTTGAGCAGTTAATGTAGAATTCTCTAAATTGTGGATTTTATAGCTTCTATTTTGGTTACTGAGAGAAAAAACTATTTGGCATTATTATTATTATTATTATTCAAGCTAGAGAGTAGAGGTTTCAATTATCGATAAGGTAATTGCTAATTAGTAACATCATCAATAACGCTGATAGTGCTAATTTGATGTGTTTATAGACTCATGGAGTGCGGGCCGGGCAAGAAAGTGCTAAGAAGGCAATTGGTTTCATTGAGGTATTTAGCAAATTTCAATGTCGGTTACTTGTTTATCTTAACGAAGTTGCATATTGGTCAATTAACTGCAGGCAATAGTGATGATAGGGAAAGAAGAAGGAGTCAAAGGGTACTGGAAAGGAAACCTTCCGCAGGTGCTTGGCAGATTTTTAACTTTCTTGAATAATGAAGATGAGGTTTTGTTTTCTAATTTGGGATTTATGGTGGATATTTCAGGTGATTCGGATCATACCATATAGTGCTGTCCAGCTCTTGGCTTATGAAACTTACAAGGTAATACTAGTGAAAATGTGTTTAAGCAATTTCTAGGAAAGTGTTATAAATAATTGAGTTGCTATTATTTGAGGCATTTGATTTATTTATTTATTTATTTTTGCATGTGAATTTGTAGAAATTGTTCAAGGGAAAGGATGGTGAGCTTTCAGTTATTGGCAGACTTGCTGCAGGTGCTTGTGCAGGCATGACATCTACTTTTGTGAGTAATTCATCAATGGAAATGGAAATGGAAATTATATTGCTACCTGTTGGGATAGTGTTTGTGCTCAAAGAAGTACATGAATTTGTTTCTTAAAAAATTTTACTGTGTGCGTAGACATCCAATTTTGTATTGCTACATTTAAAAAAATGTAATATGTATCCAGTACTACATGCCTTTGAATCTTAAAATTATCTTGCTGTGTATATTTTTTCAGGTAACATATCCTTTGGATGTCCTGAGATTACGCTTAGCGGTTGATCCTGGCTTTCGCACTATGTCTGAGGTATTATATTGATTACTAGACTACGTTTAATGACAAGATGATCATTTATGAACAGAAGAGTATTGATGATGTCCAGATTGCATTGACAATGTTACGAGAGGAAGGAGTTGCGTCATTTTACTATGGTCTTGGGCCTTCTCTTCTTGGCATTGCTCCATATATTGCCGTCAACTTTTGCATTTTTGACTTGTGAGCACATTAATGCCTAGAGCTTCTTTCATTTATTTTTTATTTAGTTGTTTTTGGAAAAGAATGCAGACATAAAACAAGTGTTGGATGTTACTCCCTTTGAACAACAGGGTGAAGAAGTCATTGCCGGAGAAGTACCAACAGAAGACTCAATCATCTCTACTGACAGCTGTGGTGTCTGCAGCTGTTGCAACACTCACGTGTTATCCTTTGGATACAGTAAGAAGACAAATGCAAATGAAGGGTACCCCTTACAAATCAGTTTTGGATGCCTTTCCAGGTAAGGTGCACAAAAATGTAGAGAACAGACTTGCATGGAGATGCTTATTGTCTCTGAAATTACCATAAAAGGGTTCTAGTGGTAATGGACCAAGATACTTTGTGAGTGAGTAGACAATGGGACACTTAAGAGAGGCTTAGAGTGCAAGCAATGCTAATATCAGCAGAGCAAAAGGGCCATCAATCACATATTAGCCTATCTTGCTTTTCTCATTTGTTAGTGCATATGTCTATTATTGATTATTGAGCCCATCATTCACTCCACAAAACTCCAATTTAGCCACTTGTCTCTTGAGCCGATGCCCAAGGGCATGTTAGTTCATGTTGAAAGAGCCTTAAATCTGTTTGTGTGGTCATGATATGCTATGGTCTTAACCCAATGCCAGGGTAATGTTAATTCAAGTTAAAAGAACTTTTAAATCTGTTTACAATACCTGTTGAGCTTTATTTTTTCTCTTAAATACCTTGATTCTGAAAATTTTAAGGACATCTCTGGGTCTGCTTCTATGCGTACTTGTCCAAATATTATTAAAAAGAAAACATGTTTCTAGTTTCTGACTGGATGCAGCTTCTCAAATTCTGTGCTGTTTCTTGAGCTTCTTAATGATAGAAGGCACCGTACAAAAAATAGTGCCTCTTAATTTTTCATGTGGCTGTAGCCCTTGTTTGAGTGGTATCACTTAAATCCTAAGGGCTCTTGGGTAAAGGTTCAAGTCTTGATATAGGTCATATATCTTAACCAAAATCTTATGCTATTAATTTCTACTTGCAATTTATTTTGGTGACTGAGGGATCGAATCTAATTTGGTCTTATTGATGCAGGAATCGTGCAGCGTGATGGAGTTATAGGCTTGTATAGGGGTTTTGTGCCCAATGCATTGAAGAACCTTCCAAATAGCAGGTTCGCTTACATTCCTGTTTCATTATTTGATATATTTGCATGGAAACATCCTTCAATATGATGTCTTATTTTGTTTGGAAACCGATGAGCTTCTAGTTTTCTTTGATCCGGGAATACTAGATCATTTGATGGTTAACTGATACTGTGTTAATCACATCTGGCATAGAAAATCTAAAATTATTGAACCCACATATAAGAATAACCGTGCCATATTTGGCTTTGCAACTCATCCTTTGTGCTGTCTGTACCTGTATCAAAAGGCACATGCTTCTTTCTTTTGTAAAATTCTTTGGTCCTAGGCACTTCGACTTTTTTTAATTTGGACCCTGGGGATAAATCTAATTCCATCAAGGTTTGTGAAACTTAATTTCATAGACACTCTTAACGGTTTCCAAATGTTGTTGGCACGGTGGAGATTATATGTTCCCCATACATGGAAGGATATAGGGGCTCACTGCGAAAACAAGTTGATTTCATAAGAAATTTCCTCCTTTGCTGACATGAAGGTACTTTCCTTTTTTCCTCTGCAGCATTAGGCTGACCACTTTTGATATCGTGAAGCGTCTAATTGCAGCCAGTGAGAAAGAGTTTCAGAGAATTGTGGAGGAAAACCGCCACAAACAAAGCCAGGACGCCAGTAATTGAACCATCCTGATAGTAGATTTCTTTGTATTGTTATGAACCGTTCTTGTTCCACTTTATTTTTGTTGCAGGCATCGTCTAGCGCTAGAGGAACATGTTCGTGTAGGAATTATGATTTTGGCAATTGCATGCCTGCATGATTTGTTAGGATTCTTAGCTGCCGGTAAGTTTTGCTGGGGCTATTGTTTTCGCAAGATGGTTACGTGCTAGTCAGGGTAGCTTATAATATAGGCCCAGTCGATTTGTTGTCTTCATTGCATCATCAATGACAAATATTTTGTGCAATTGAGGATCTTAGATTCAGGCTTCCTAACAGAAGAAACTGCTTTCTTTTTTTAAATCAGCGGAAACGACATTTTCTGAAAACAGAATTTACTAAAATTGATATGCAAATTTATTGTTAGCCTAATAACTTTCTTAATTTAGATGGAGTCATGCTGCATGAAGATGAAAGAATAGTAAACTTTCTCATTTGTTCGAGATAGATGAAGGAGCTTCGTTGTTTCTAAACATAACGGCTATAATTTTGTTTTCAAATAAAAAAGAGTATCAAGGAATTTTTTTTCCAAAATTCTAGAATTAATACTGTACTATACTTGTGCTTCCTTATTATCTTGAGATATTTTATTTTATTGAAAAAGTCATTTTTTATAAATAATAAAATATTTCAAGTTGATTTATAAAATAAATAATATAAGAGGGAAAGAAGAAGAAGTTTAGGAGTTCAATTCCCAGTTAAGCAAGCACTCACATTTACCAGTCAATGCTTTCGGGGCTCTAAGCTTTCTCCACAAAAGAGGGCCTCTATCAAGGTGCCATATCTTTTTGAGTCTGATGTTCATCTGAGTATAGCTGATATTTTTTTCTTTCTCTTTCCTAGGAGCTTAGGAGGTTAACTACGAGGAATCACACCATCTGCAGAAGTTTAATTAAAAGAAAAAAAATAAAAATTTAGATCGATTAATCAGTTAAACTTATGATTAATCAGTTAAACTTATGATGTGAGTTATTAAATTAAAATAATTTTAAAATAAATTAAAATAAATTATAAATTTTAATTTTTAATCAATTCAATATTAATAAATTAAATTAAAAAAATAAATCGCAAGCTCCACTCTTGATGGTGTTTTTCTATTAATTTCTCTAAATTTCAGCTTTATTACTACACTCCTTTCAAAACTCAAAAACTTTGATTTTTCAAGAAAAAGACAGTCATTCATCTATAGGTTGTTCGTGCTAGGCAAACATATTTTGGTCAGGCTAAAACCCGACTTGTATGCTGCCATAACAAAAATAAAAAAAAAATCAAAAAAAAAATCATGAGAAACAAAACTTCTCCATTTTGAATAAAAGGTCAAATTTATTTTGAAAAGGATGCTTGAATGTGAAGGTAAAGAGAGCGTCTCCTAGGAGAAATCGAGAAGTGAGTATTATAGAAGAGAGAAAGGGAGGACACGAAAGAGAAAAATTCTTAGATGGGTAATCGTGTTATCCAATGCATCAGATTAACTTTTTATTAATGTAAAACCAAAAAATTCAATTGATACTTTTATTTTTAAATCAAAGTTAAGAAATTATGACACGTGAATTATTTACTTAACTAGGTCTAATAAACTCAGTTAAATTAATAATATAATTTAAAGTTGATATCAATACTAAATAAAGTGAACAAAAAAATTTGACAATAATTAATTATAAAAAATAAGTTATTAATATTATATTTGGAGGGAGAAGAAAGAAAACTTTATTAAAGACTCATCTTTTTCTATGAACATTACATCACCATTAAAAAAGGCTTATCGAAATAATTTTAATGTTGTTGTTAAAGGTTGTACGACAATATTAAAAAAAAGAACATACATAGTCAAAGCAATGACCTATAATGCAAAAGCAAAATTTCTTTTTAAAAACTAAATTTTAAAGAGAAAAAAATAAAAAAAAATCAAAGATAACTATGATTATTTTTAAAATTAATAAAAAATGCTATAAAAAGTAAATAAAAAATCATGGAGCCCAATCTTAAATTAAATAAATGTTGAAGATTAAACTAAAAAAATATAAGCTTAAAAAAAAAGAAGAAAAACAAGCAAAATTGAGTAAATTTTTTAAACTTAGATTAATCTTCTAAATTCACAATCCATGAAATCAGATACTCGAATTAAATTGAGAAGCTCAATTCTCAATCAATTTCTTAATTTTCAATCAATTTAATGTTAAAGGATGAAATTAGAAAAAAAATATTATTTTAAAATTTTTTTCAAGGAATATTAATTAAAAGAATGATGATCAAATTTTATAGGAAAAAAATTAAAAAATAATAAAATTTCAAAAAAATTAATTTTAAAAATTAGGTAAAAATACCGAATTAACCAGAAAAACCTGTGATTAAAGTCACGATATAAACCCTCATATAAATGCAGTGTAAACCCTGGCGTAAATGCATGATCAAAGATAATAAAACATTGATGCATGTTGAAAACTTCAAATGAAAATAAATGAATAAGAAAAAGAAATAATTATGTTTAGAATTTTGAAAGTCCCTCAAACCCATCTCTACCGATTAACCTTAGAACGTTTTGATATGAGTTCTTGTATAGCTTGAATTTCAAATTAAATTATATGAAAATTGATTTAATATGATTCAATCAACTTGATAGGTTAAAAACAACGCAAAATATTAACAAAAAAAAAGTTAATTTGGATTAAAAGAATTCAAATAATATCTTTTTTTATATATAAATATTAAAACAATAATATATTTTATCAATTTGGACATCTTGTTTAACTTGTTATCCATGACATAGAGCCAACTATGTTTAATAATTTTTTTTTAAAATTATTCTTGTTTAATTATATAATAACCAAAAATAAATAATAATAATAATAGTAAATCAACAAATTAGATAAAAAAATTGTTTATGATGAGCTAACATAGTAAATACTTACTAATATTATAAAATAGATTTTCATAATTTTATTCTATGATAGAGTAAGAATAAGATGTAATTTAATAAAATATCATTTAAAATACATTATTAATTAATCTACTTTTTTTTTAAAAAAAATATACCCAATATATTTCTATTATTTAATTTGAAAGAAATCACATCTAAATTATTGAAAACCCATCATGCCCAAGCCATAAAAAATAACTTTTTATATATATTTTTTTAACATCATTCATCCAATTTGTGTTTTCTTTAAAGAAATTAGCTATACATTATCTCTTACTCGTAATCTAACAACATAAAGATCATCAAAATATTAATAGAATTTTTTTTTATCAAAATATCATTTCAATATAAAAAAACTTAATAAACACCCTTATCTCAACAAACCAATTAAAGAACCTAAAAATCACAAAGATTCGAAAAAAACTTAAAAAAAAAACCTTTTTGGACATCCATCAACTTTTATTTTAAGTAAGATGAATGCTTAAAAAGATTTCAATAAAACATCTTTATTAAATATAACTTGTTGATTTTAAGATTAATTATTTTTTATAAGAATATAATTAACTGACAGATTTCTCTATCTTTTATCATTATCTAATGACTTTTTTTCTTCTCTTTTAAATCTATGGATTAAAATATGAATAAAATAAAGTTTGGACTAAATCATTAATTTTAAAACTAAAGGGACTAAAAAGGAATTTGGACAAAATATTAAAGCTAAAAGGCGAGACCTTGATATATGTGTTTTTTTTCAAAAGGGCTGCCATTTCATCAAACTTTTAATGTTGGTTCCTTCATTTTTAATTTTTTCTTGATTCAATATCAAGATTTTTTTGAATAACAATAATTTTTAAAAATAATACAAAACAAATCATCAAGTTGAATCAATAATTAATACAATATAAAATAATGAAATTAAAAGAAAAAAACTTAATAATCTGATTGGAAAAAAATAAAAAGCCAAAAAAGAAAAAAAATATTTTTAAATAAAGAACTGCCATTTTATCTTATTTTTAACCTTCATCCCCTCATTTTTTTTATCTTTCGCGAACAATTAATACAATTTCTTTTTTTTGTAAAATTAACAATTTATTCAATGTTGAAGCTTTTTTAAGGATGTAAAAACTTGGAAAAAAATAGTATGAAAATAAATTATCAAGTTTAATTTTATTAATATAATATAAAATGATAAAATTAAAAAAATGAAAACTCCTAAGCCCACAATATTTTCATTATAGACATTGAGATTTTTTATTTTTTATTTAATATAATTTAGTGTTTTAATGTTTTTTCACAAGAGAGAGGAGTATATTTTCCGATATATGCTGAATAATTCCTCCGTCCTGTTAGGAGGCCGTGTTCGATCAAATGACATGTCGTGTAATGCAAGAGCCGTGTAGATAGAAACTGGTCATGAAGAGAGTCGTGTCTTCTCTGAAAATTGCGGGCCATAAAAATCCTCTCAAACTCCAACAATTTTGAAGCTGAAATGGCGTACCCCTTGCAACTCTCATCCCCTGGACTCGCTTTTGAATCTTCGAAAACCCGCACGAGAAAGAAAGCACACCACTTCCAAACTCTGTGCTGTTCCTCCTTTCAACATCCTAATCTTCAGGAAAAGCCTGATAACGAGGTGATTTTGTTGGAGAGATATGGAAATGGAACTGCTAAAAGATATACATTAGACGACGCCGTGCAACTACAAGGTTTTCTTGAGAAAAATGGCTCTGAAAATCACAGCTTCGAGGATTCACGTTTGTCTGAAGCCGGATTGTCCTGGCTTCCGGATATTGTCAAAGATTTTATTCTACCTGCTGGCTTTCCAGGTCACCATTCGATAACCCCTCTTTTGCTTTTTTTTTTTTTTTTTTCATGTAATAGCTTTGTTTCTTACTCTTCTTCAATCTAAATGCAGGGTCGGTTTCGGATGACTACTTGCAGTATATGGTGTTACAGTTTCCTACCAACATTACTGGGTGGATATGCCACACTTTAGTCACATCAAGTCTTCTTAAGGCATGTCAATCTAACTCAGGCAGTTAATTTTGCATGGGTATGTTTCCTAGGATCAATACTCTTTCCTAGTTGACTTTGTTGCTTCACATTTTTGTTCTACACCTTAGGTCATGATCCATTAGGGGTATAAGGTGTTCTATGTATTTTTTTTTCATTTTCTTTTAATTATTGCGAAATATCTCAAAATGTGACTTTAGCTCTGGCAATATTTATGCATACTGATATGAATTTCTATGTACTACCTTTGCAGGCTGTTGGTGCTGGCTCTTTCACAGGAACTGCCGCTGCTGCTTCTGCTGCCGCTATCAGGTGAATTAATGTTTATTTTCATCGGTGGCTTAGATATTCAACGCATCAGACTAGTGTTCATTTTTTGGAGTGCAAAAAATTAGTCTTTTATTGGACTGAGCTGTAGGTTTTGCAATTGTTTCTGCAGATG